GGACATTGTTTATTTTTGTAATGGTATCTGAGTGTTTGCAAGGTTGATAGGCTACATTTAAACTATATACTTTTGTGTAGTTTAATGTAAAAGTGCGTAGTGTTGCTGTCCTGTGAGGGAAAAAGTAGGCTACTTCACATTTGTACATGAATACTTAACGCAGTATGAAGTTCCTTACATTCCCCCACTGGTTATTTTGAAAATTAACTAAATGTAGGACTATTGTCACAAAATTAACAAATTGTTACTAATTTACATGTCCGGTCCCCTCAGTTTTCTGATTGCTTAAAAAAAAAAAAAAAGACTTTAGGAGGCAAAATATTTTTTTAGTGATTATGTGAATTACACTGCGCAAACCAAAGTAATAGGCTAGGCTCACCGGTTGAATTAGGGTCGGCTCTCAGTCTCCACAGTACATAAAATATTCATTTTATTTTATTTTATTTTTCGTGTTCGCATTTATGAGGAAAAAAAAACAATGTTACGGACGTGTTCTCCGTTACGGACATGACCGCTCTGAAAGCAGCAAAAGATGCTTTAAAACTGTCACAGAGACATCAAACAGAAAACACAAAACCTTTCTTTAACCTGAATTTCGTTTTGTATTAATTGTATCTTAATTTTAATCAATGTTTCATCAACCAATTGCCTGGATTTAATAAATAAGAAGTAAATATAGCAGACGATAGATAAAAAACGGAAGCGCCGGCGCGTGAACTGGAGCTCGTCTCATAAATTAACCAAAACTCAGCGTATAAGGTAGCCTACTTGCCTCACATGTCTACTTTTAAACAGAACAATTCAAAACGAAAGAAAACAGACTACAGACTGCTCTCTGCTTATGTAATCCTTATGAAATGTGCATTTCTCTCTGGCACGTTCACTACTGAAAATCGCGAGTCAGCATCGTCAACTTCATCTTAGCCGACAAAGAAAACACTTGTTTATTAATAAACAATTACAATATCTCCTTGCTATATTTTACATATTCATAATCATACTTTTGCCGGTTCTTTGTGACAGCTTTTAGGTGCTTTATTGGCAGCGCCACCCTTACATGTCGCCACCGCATCACCGCACCCACCAGAATAGACCTGTATATAAAATATATATATATTTTATAGCCTATATGTATATGTATATATATATATATATATATTAGGGCTGTCAAAATAACGCGTTAATTTCGATTAATTAATCTGAGAAGAAATAACGCGTTAAAAAAAAGAACGCAGATTAATCCATTCCGTTTTGACCTTTGCGGAGCCGTTCTAGCCGTAGCCACCATTCGTGTAAAAAGGAGGGAGACAATAACGCGCTGCTTGGATCATTGTTTGGAACATTTACTTATAACAAACGGAGTTCGTCAACTCTAAAGTACCACATCAATGCAAAGCATCCAGGAGTGTGTGCGTGAGTCGGTGAGTGTTTCTGAGAGAAAGCGCACTTGTGTGTGTGTGTGTGTTGTAACTTTTCACGCGCTCTCACGTCACACAACCATTTTCTCACGCACAGAAAAATCGCGCACCAAAGAGAGGACACGGAAACAGACACGACAGACGTTATTATGATATTTAAAAAATCTCAGCTCTCAGATTCTGTCAATTTTATTACGAAAATCAAACAATAAATACCGTTGACGCTTGTAAATGTGACATGACAGATCCCTATAGCGGCACGTGAACCGATCATCTCTAGCTAATAGTAAATAAACACGAATGAACAATGTTGAAAGATACAGTAGGGCAGCCTAAAACTTACCGAAATGTATATTCCTCGATCAATCAGTGTTTTTCAACCGCGAAAAGAGGTCAATAAAACAGCTGGAGAACAATTATGTCACATAACATTTAGCCTAAGTTACCTCAGGAAAGCCATTTCATGACCATATGATAGCACGTTATAGTTGGCTATAAAAAAAGAGCTATAGAGAGTGTTTTTCTAAATTTATGTAGCCTACTACTATATTACATATGTATTATATTTTTTACTTATATCAAAGTTGTTATTTGTAATAAACACGCATTATATTTAATTTGAGCTATTTTTAAACTTAAATACTACCAGCTGATATGGCTCTCTGTATTTTTACAGCATTGGGTGAGATTTTTTTTTTCTTGAGAAAAATGAATGCCTATCTTGTGTACCTAATATTTATCCAAATGAGTCAATATTGCATCAAATCACAAGAATTAAATTAAATTGAAATCGTGAAATTTGTGTCAAGCAATAATAATAAAAACGTAGCTTACCAGAAATTGTACCATGTAAACATTGTAAGATTGTGTATGCGATTAATTTAGATTAATTAATTACAGAGTATGTAATTAATTAGATTAAAAATTTTAATCGATTGACAGCCCTAATATATATATATATATATATATATATATATATATATATATATATATATATATATATATATATATAAAACATGTTGCCCCCTCATTTAAAGACGGGACCCCCCAAAAATAAAATTCTTGCTACGCCCCTGCTCACATGTCCTCCAGTAAAATATAAAACAAAAAAATGACGATAGCCAATTCTGGCTCCATAGCTGTTTACTCAATTTTATCAAATGAATGATCAGGATGGCAGCTGTACTCTCGCACTGTTGCTTGGCGCCTGGAGAGGTAATCGGGAACACCTGGTTGCGCCATTAGGAAATCCCACGAAGGCTACATGGTGCGTCCTTCGAAGGACGGATAGGCTGCATCCTTCGAAGTCCGCGGCCTTCGAAGGATGCAGCCTTCACATTGGGACACAGCTATTGTTTGAGGAGACTGTGAGGCTGTCAGTCACCGCGCCCGTGTGGATACTGGCATTCAGAATCACAGATTCTACTTTTTGGAAGTATGACCAACATAAGAATTTTCACTGGAAAATGTCATCTGAACTAGTAAGAAACATCCACTTTTGTTCTGGTTCTGACATTGCAGTAAATCGCGCTGATTAAATCTAACAATCGCTTATAAGTTATCATATCACGCAAAACCGTGCAAATTACACTTTGTTCTCAAATTGTTAATGTTAACAACATAAGCAAGCATTGCGTGACTACATTTAATGTCCTTCCGATATGTATCCTTGTTTTCGCATGGGCCTGTTGCAGTCTCTTCTTTCTGTAGTCACTCCGAAGTCCGAACGAAGTCTTTTGCGTTTTACAACGGGTGAATCTGTTGTCACTGGTGATCGTCGTTTGAACCTTTCTGGATCCGCCATCAAATTGAAAAGTTTAATTATATCAAGTGCTGTGAGAAAAGGCTATAAATCTCCACCTCCAACATCCTCACACGCAGTATACTAGCCCACTAGCCAAAACTCCTTTATGTGTACAGATGTGACGTAATGACGCAAAGACATGCTCAAATCTCCCGCGGAAATCCACCAGTACCACTGGAATTAAAAACATTATTACAAGCTTACCACTTTGAATCGAGCTAAGGCAAGCAGATAGTTTTGAACACTGGCTGGTTATGTATTTTCTCAAATATGTATTTTGGATCATTTTTAACCCCCAAAAAAAGCTACGGACTGCAGCTTTAATTACATTTAGCAGTATTATTAATGTCATGATCATGCCCTGTTTAGTTTTATTTTCTGTTATTGTTTTGCCTGAGTTTTAGTTCATTGTCTGTTACCATAGTTTCTAATTAGTCTTGCACCTGTTCCTTGTTCTGTTGATTGTATTATCTGTGTACTTAAGCCCTTAGTTTAGTGTTCATCATCATCACTGTGTAATATGTAGTTGCTTTGTTCATTCTTCGTGTTTATTGAAGTGACATTTAAATTATTGGTGTTATTTTTAATAGTGATGCACCAAAATTGATTTTTTACCAAATCACTGAAACCGAAAATAAAGTAAATGGAACAAAAACCAAAAATACAGTCTCAGTTATTAATATTCAGATAACTGATCTCATTATGCTATTCAGGGTGTTGTGTTTTCAGGAGATGAATTAAACCAGTTCTAGTAAAATCAGCCACCTCTCAATATTTCAGTCAAACAATTTATTTATTTATTTATTTTGACAAATTGCTACTCTTCATTTTTGATCATTGATGGAGCTTATCCATGTTGTGTGCATAAAATAGACATTGATGAAGTCAAAACACATCATTGGAGAAGCGCTGATTAAAAGTCACTGTTTTGGTCAATGATTTCAGTCCTTTAAAACTATTCTGGCCTGAAAAAAACGAAAATTCTTTTAGCCAAATATTTTCGGTTGCCGAAATTTTGGTGCATCACTAGGTATTAAGGAATAACTTTAAGTGTGTGTTACGTGATGGCAAGGGGAATCTTATTGTAAAAATAAGGGAAATTAGCACAAAAAAACATTCAGGATTCTTTTCTTTTTTTAAAGTCTAGTAGAGATTTTAAATATTTAGTCATCTTGAATAGGTGAGGTAATGAGATATAGTGAGGTGGAACGAGAGGTGATGTGGGCAGATGGGAGTGTTGGCCGCTATTACAAACTCTCCCCACACACACACTCTCCACAGGCAACCACTTATGAGCAGCACATAAAATGGCTGCACTTTCCTTGTTAATGGACCAGTCCATCACAACTGCATTAATGGAGTGCCAACATCAATTCACTGAAAAATACCAGGAATCATAAAACGTTCAGATCAGATTGTGGAGGAAGTTCTATAGATTGGTGGCTTGTCTTGATTGCTGTAACAGCCCGCTTCCTTGGGAAAAACCAAAGGGTCTTGTGCTTTTTATTTGGCCAGCATTCCGCATCTAATTCCTTCAGTATTGACACAGCAGCCCCTAATAGCTGTTAGGAGGCTAGTGTGTCTAATGGTTTCAGCACCAGGATGTTTGCATGCAGGATTTGAAACGTGAGTCGTCTTCACTTACGCACGTGCCTGTATTTCCACAACCACGTGGTTGCTGGAGGACATGGACATGTGTGCAAACAAATCAGTGTCGGTGATGGATGTTTGCTGTTGTGGGCTGTTTCTGAGTAAAATCTTGTTTTTCTTTCTTTCAGGAAACGCCAAGTTCTGTATTTCTAGTTATGGAGGTGAGTGTAAAGCATGTATTCTCCCCTCTATCTCTCCCTCTCTCTTGTTTCTGTCTTCCACATGCTCTTGTTTTAGTCATGAGGCCACAGCGTGCCTAATGTTGCATGGCTATTCTTTCTAGTATTGCCCAACACTGCAGTCTCTGAAGGAGAAACAAACACATCAAGAGGCCAAACTAAAAATATCTGTTCAGGGAAAGCTGGTCTCAAAAACAATTTAAAGAGCCTTAATATGAACTCTCTTTAGCGTGTATTAGTCCAACCCTTCTCATGAATGTACTGTATAGTAGCTTCTGATAATGCTTTCTGAGTATAATTTATTGGGACCTGTCTGTGTGACCTAAAAATGGGTTTGCAGATAGAGTTTGGCTCAAACTAGAGGTCTTCACAGGTTTTCTTCGATTAACCAAAACTAAAATCATTTTAAAAAAAATCTCTTTTTGATTAATTCTGTAAAATAAAAATTTTGAGCAAGCCAGAAGTAATATTTGTTTGTTTTTTTATTTAAAAAGCCTTCAATAAAGGTCCTAATGTTCAGTCAGAGTATTATAGATGTTAGTGTATGTCATGTTAACTGTAGTGTATTATCTCTGTACTCAACACCCAGTATGCTCAGGGCTATTTCTCTCATGCCATCAATGATGTGGAAATTTACTGGCCACCAATACATGCTGACAATCCCATAATGCTGCATCACTTCATCAGATTCATTGATGTGTGTGTCACTAAACCGGCCTTCCTCCTCCTGTAGCCCATGAAATATCCTGTCCTCGAGCCTCAACATAGTTTTTTATTGTTCAGTATTGGTTTCAAAGTTGAGTTTTATTTTCTCTGTTTGTTTCCTCTTCAAGTACTGCAATGGAGGAGACCTGGCAGACTATTTGCAAGGTAAGCAGATTGTGAGGTAAACACATCATTTGGTCAGGCTGCTCAAATAAAAAGAGCATTGTTTTTAAAGCACATTTTAGGGAAGTCCACCTATAAATGGGTTTCTAAAGTGTCTTTGCACATTAAACAAGGATGTATTTCTCTGCGAGCTAGAGTTGAAGTGTCTGTCTCCAGGGCTCAATCTCAAAGCACACTTGCCACTAACACTCTCAGAGAGTCACTGCAGCCTCCATTATCATATAAATTTACAGCTCTCAGAGGTTTGTCCACATACCCATTGTGAATAAACAGAAGTCTGTGTACTTCAGTTTGGTGTTTACGAGCAATCTTTGTTCTGTCAGAGGAATCTGATTGGTCTATAAACTAAGTTTTCACTGAGTGTGTGACGCAGAGGGCATAATAGAGATTACTCTGGTGCCATTTACTTTGTGTGACTGATGTTGGCTGGACTGTTACCTCTTGTTATGTTCAGGCAGATTGTTATCTTTGTGTAACCATGCTCTTGTCCTCTTACCCTTCTCCCTTGTTTAATTATGCAACCGTTTCTTAGTTATACAACCTCACAGCTATGCCAAATACTGTTTTGGGATCAGTACGAGGTTCATTGTGATCGTAATTGCTTTGTTTACAGAGCAGATTGAGTGAAGGGAATCCTCTTAACAGCTCAGTGGATTACACCAGTTTTGTTCTAACAGGGGACTTGGAGCGCCATCACTCCATGTAAAATCCCTGAGCAGCTTCTGATTTTAACATTCTCACCAATCAGGGGCCTAGAGAACATGACTCTGATGGTCTTGGATTAGCTCAGTGCAGTTTATATCCTTATTTAAAGGGATAGTTCATCCAAAATGAATTCTCACTTTATCACTCACCCTAAAAGTGCTCAACAACAATTAGGGTGGCCAGTGACAGAGAGTTGACGGTACTGTCACTTCTGGATGTCTTTTTTTTTTACTTTTTTTTTTTTTTTTATGCAAACTTAAACAAAAGTTTGAAATTTGAAAAATTTGAAATTCCGCTTGTCAACTTTTTAAACTTTTATCTATCAGTATGAATGGGTTGAATATGACAAACCAATCAGTAATGTTTTGACATCTATGCCATTTTCCAATTTATTGGAGTTTCTTGTGTAATTAATAGTTTTTAGCTATTATTGCAATTTTTTAACAAATTATACATTTAAATGAGAACTGTTGGCAGAGCAACTAATAATATGAATTACTGGCCCAGCCAGGTGTGATGAATAATCATGGAAATGAATAAAACCTTAAAAGGTCATGGACATTTCAATAGTCAATCTTCATTTTTCTAGTTATGCTCAGTTCTACAGTATTTGTTTTTATATAAAATACTCACAACATTTTGTCTGTTTTATTGCTTAAAACAGACATAATGGTCACATTATCGAAATTTAGTGGGCAAAAAACTTCCAGCCCCGGTTTCACAGACAGGGCTTAGATTAAGCCAGGATTAGGCTTTAGTTCAATTAGGGCATTTAAGTAGCTTTTATAAATGTACCTTAGAAAAAAACAAAAACATTACTGGTTTGCATCTTGAGACAAAACAATGGCACTGACATATTTTAAGATATGTTAGTGCAAGTTGATTTCAGTTAAAACAGCTCAAACATGCAGTTTAGTCTGGGACTAGGCTTAAGCCTTGTCTGTCAACCGGGGGTCATTGTCTATAGTCAATAGTCTAGCGATTAATGAAGCAAAGCTCACATGAAGTCACTTTCAAACCAAGCAGCTGTCTGTTGGTCAACACAGTGAATTTGCGACCCACTTTATCTCGATCCAAAATCTGCGTCTGGAATTTCACAATCTTGTGGACTCCTATTGAAATGACTTTTTTTGCTAAAAATTTGTCGAACAATGGTAAATGTGACCACACCTTAAAGATTTTGCTCTTCAAAACTAGTAAATCTGAGGTTTCTTGAAACATAAAGCCAATTTTCAATTTCAGCAAATGAAACATTGTATGATGTAAGCAGTTATATTAGCTGCAAGGCTGTCTGGTTAAATGAGGTTTTTATAGAATGTCTTAATGGATTTTATAGCCATGTTTCTCAGCGGTACAATGTCTTTGCTCTTCCAGCCAAGGGCACTCTGCGAGAGGACACACTGAGGGTCTTTCTACAGCAGATTGCGGCAGCTATGCGCATCCTCAACAGCAAGGGGATCATTCACAGAGACCTCAAGCCTCAGAACATCCTGCTGTCCTACACGGGACGCAAAAAGTCCAGCATCAGCGGCATACGCATCAAGATTGGTAACACTCTACATAACGATTTGTTGCTAATATTACTATATATACCTTATTATATCTACTGTATAATTCAAACGTCTGAGACCACATTACAAATCTGGTATCCAAAATTAAACTTAAACCTGGAAATAAATATCTCAAGACGTTTGTAGTCCACTGTGTATGCACCCAACAGTCTATATAATAGCATCATACTCTTTCTGCCCTCTGATCTCTCACACAGCCTGTTCTTTGTTTCCATTGTCTCAGTATGCGCAGAAGTTATAAGTCGTGACTTTCAGACAGCAGTATGTTGCTATTAATAACACCGGTGCTCTCTTTGTTTAACAGCTGACTTTGGTTTTGCAAGATATCTCCAGAGCAACATGATGGCGGCCACATTATGTGGATCCCCAATGTACATGGTCAGTAGACACATACTGAATTCTGTCTCACTGTCTCAGATTTGTGAAATACATCAGCGGTGTGAGACTTTGGCAGCATCATGTTCTCATAATTTGTAATCTATCACCTCTCTTCGCAGGCTCCAGAGGTGATCATGTCCCAGAACTATGATGCCAAAGCTGACCTGTGGAGCATTGGGACTGTCATTTACCAGTGCCTCGTGGGAAAGCCACCTTTTCAGGTGACGTTCATGTCAATGAAGCTAAACTGAGATAATATAGTAGCTAATTATCTGATTTCAAGACTTTGCTGTTTTTTGTTGTTGTTGTGATGATGTTTTAATGGTGTTTTATGTGTATATACTGTATGACCAGGCTAACAGTCCCCAGGACTTGAGGATGTTCTATGAGAAGAACAAGACTTTGGTGCCAAAGTAAGAGCATTGACTATTTTTGTTTTTTCTTTTGTTGTGTTTCATATGTGTCATAATGCTCAAGATTGTTGTTTTCCCCTAAAATATTAAGCAGCACAACTGTTTTAAAAATTGATAATAATGAGAATTTTTTCTTGAGCACCAAATCAGCATATTAAGCTGAGTTCACACTGCCAGCGACACGCAGCGACAAAGCGACATGATTTCAATGGAGAGCTGGCGATTTCCAGCGACATGAGGGAATGTAGGTTTGTCTAGCAATGCGACAAAGTTGAGATACAGTTAGGTCCAAATATATATATGGACCTAACTGTATTTTGAACCGTATGCAAATGAAGAGCAATTTTCAGGAGCGACAACCAGAAGGAGTGAAGTCAGGTGTGATTGAGGAAAAGATCCGTCACTAGATCCTGTAGTGGAGTGTTATGATGGAGGGAAAGTTATGTTAGTGGTCAGCAACTTTTCTATAATTTATTATATATCTCTGTGCTGACTCCAACGTAAACCCAGATAGACCGGCGCTTGCACTTTCACTGCAGATAAAAAGCCGAGATGGCAAAGATCACTCGCTGTTTCTTGTTCGTCTTTAGTATTAAGGAGTTTATGTATTGATACCATTTATATTTAGTCTTTTCCCTCCAAGAAAACAAATTCAGTGTCTACAGCATGGAACATCCATGTCATTCATAAACGTTACTAGGCAATCCGTAGTGGGAACGGCCACTAGTGACCCCACTTCCAGCCACTGACGACATGCAGCGACAAAGTCACTGGCAGTGTGAACACAGCTTTAGAATGATTTCTGAAGGATCATGTGACTTTGAATACTCAAATAATGGCTGCTGAAAATTCAGCTCTGCATCACAGGAATAAATTACATTTTGAAAGGTTTCAAAATAGAAAACGTTTATTTTAAATTATAATAATATTTCACAATATTACTGTTTTTACTGTTTTTTTTTTAATCAAATAAACGCAGCCTGGGTGAGAACAACAGACTTTTTTCAAAAACATAAAACAATATTACCGACCCTAAACTTGTGAAATGACAAAACTCTTCATTAACATATTCTTTACTCAAAATTTTCAAAATATATCATATAAATATACATATTCGAAATATATCAAAATATTCATTCACTGAAAAATGAAAACAGATTTTTGATTATATTTTATTATTCAGCCAATAATCTCGATATGGCCAATCATTAGGCCCTATTTACTGAATAACTAAAGCTTTCTGTTCACAGCATCCCGAGAGAGACGTCTCCTCCACTGGAAGGTCTGCTGCTGGGGCTGCTCCAGAGGAACCAGAAGGATCGTATGGATTTTGGTCAGTGTATTTCTGTTGTTTCAGTGCATTGTGGGAGGATTTCCACCTTGTTGTTCCCTTTCCTCATTCTCATATTTGTCTGTCTGCAGACACTTTCTTCAGTCATCCTTTCTTGGAACCGACAACAACTATTAAAAAATGTAAGTAAGAACATTTGATGTGCAAATTTAATGAATAAGGTGTGGCTGGACACTAAACCAGTTTTTTATTTATTTTACCCAGCATGCCCTGTGCCAGTGCCAACGTGCTCTGGCATGGTCTCAGACAGCACGTGTGGCAGCTCTCCGTCCTGTCGTTACGTGTCTCCTCCGGTAAGCACCTTACATACAGACATGAGCAGTTCCTAAACTAGGGTGTTGCATGAGATGATAGCAGCATTGAGAAGTTTAATAGCACTGACTCAGCTCAAGGTAATCCAGCGTTTACCTCCACCTTTGTTTTGCAGTCCCTGCCAGACATGCAGACTCTCCCCGAGGACGTGCTGTCCTCTCCACCTCTCGGCCCTCCCAACTACCTGCAGCTGTCCAAAGAGTCGGGCGGCAGCACCAGCAGCAAGAACTCCTCCTGTGACACGGACGACTTTGTGCTGGTGCCACATCTCTCCGGGGAGCAGTCCTGTGAGTCACATTACTTCACCGAACACGTCACACTGCAAAAATATTTAATAATCAGTACATTTGTCTCTTTTTTTCTGTTAAAAAAAATTGAAAACATCCTTAAAACAAGATCAATTTATTTGAGAAGCAAAAAGGTTTTTATCTAATTTTCAACTGTATTGACCATTAATGTGAGATAATATAATTAAAGATTTATTTTTCTTCTATAAGCAAAACAATATACTTTAAAACTGTTGTAAATGTAATTTGAATCCTAAATCTTGCTAAATTTGAGGTTTAAGGTAAAAACAAGAAAAACACTTATATTTGCTGAAAACAAGTATTAATATCTTAAAACAGTTTAGTAAAATATTAATATTTTAATATTAAGTACAATATTTTAATTATTAGTTTAGTATGTTTACATTTTTTTACCTGGAAAACTTTTCAGATAAACAATCTTGAAATAAGCCTTTTTTATATAAATCTTACAAAATATAAAAATATTGAATAAATGTTTTATATCAGAGAAATATCAGACATTTTTTAGATTTTCAAAAAACATAATTTAGTGTGATTTGTAAGCTGTTTTCCTCACAGGGACCAAAAAATGTCTGGATTTTGGAAATTGCCAGCTTCGCGGGGGCATTTTATCCCCATAAAAAGGTTATACCTGAACCACACACACACACACTAGATTTGAGTAGCTGCTGGAGCTGTTTTAGCGTATAGAGAGGCGTCTGCTGAGTCAGCGCTATGAAAGCCTTCCAGCGCTGATTACGCTCTCACAAGCTGTGATTTGCTGGTGTTTGTGAGACTGTGTGTATTTGTAGTTCTCATGACTTTCTTTCTCTTCTCCTTAGATGACCTTCCAATGGGGGCAGTGGGCCGCAGGCCGTCCAGTGAATTCCTTCTGTGTGGAGGGTGAGTGTGACGTCACTGATATGGTTCACTCACAATGCATTACAATGCTTTCAAACCTCAAACCTTCACACAAGCATGTTTTCTTCTTCAATTGTTAAACTAGGTTTAGTAGGCCAAAGATACACAGTTCACTGTCAAGTCCGAGATGCGGACAGCAATATTAACAATGGTTAAATCATCTTGATCCTTTTTGGCTGTTTCCATCATGGAAATATGGAGTTACGGATTAGCACACTGATCTGTTTGTTTCGTTGATGTCATTGGAGATATTTTTGGTGCCTTCTACTCCCAAACTATTTAATCGTGGAGGTGAAAGCCAGGGCGAGTTCACTGTTGTGTGACTTTGGGTGGTGTGTCTGTTGTTATTGCTGGAGGAAGCTGAGAGGTGAATCACATGGGTGGTGAATGAGTCCTGTGGGAACGAATGTGTGTGTGTTTGTGCTCCTGCCCTAAGAATAGACACCCTGCTGTCATTTCTTACCATCTGCATGTGATCTAAAACTGTTTCCACACCGTTTACTTGTAAACCGACCTCTAATTTTGTCCAGAGGTGCAGAAATAAACATCCATCGCATCGGCTGTTTTGTGACTAGACCCTTGTTATTGTGCAGTTATGCAGTGGATCTGACATTGACAGTTAAAACATTCATATGCTAATCATTTTTTGTCTGTTACTCATGTAGAACAGAAGCTGTCTTCTCCAAGTCACTTCCTTCTGCTATGTGGCTTTTCTGTTTCCTTCTCTTGTACAAGCGAAATATTAGAGATGCACCCAAATAAAAACCGATAGCCAATAAATGGCAAATATAAAAATTCATACTATTTTGTTTAAATAAATTAAAAATAAATTACTAAAAACTTAAACGCTACAACTGAATTTAGTCACAACGGCATTATAATGCACAGTATGTAAAATGTTTATTTTGAGATTTGCTAAAGATAAAAAGGTAAAACTTTACAATAAAGTCTCATTAGTTAACATTAGTTAATGCATTAACATGAACTAGCAATGAACAATACATTTTGTTACAGTATTCATTAATGTTTGTAAAAAATATACAGTCGTTCATTGTTTGTTCATGTTACTTCACAGTGCATATACTAATGTTAACAAATACAACTTTTGATTTTAATAATGTTAGTAAATGTTGAAATTAACATTAACAAAGATTAACAAATAGTGTAGATAGAAGTGCAGTTCATTCTTAGTTCATGTTAAGTAGTTAACTAATGAAAAACCTTATTGTAAAGTGTTACCGAAAAAAAATAACAATGTTATTTTTATAGATTATTTGTGCTTTTAAAGATTTAAGTGAGAAGTCTCTGCTGTATTTATTTGATCAAAAATACAGTAAAAACTTAAAATAAAATTTTAAATAACTGTTTTAATATATTTAAAATTTGTATTTATTCCTGTGATAGCAAATCTGGATTTTCAGCATCATTAGTCCATTCTTCAGTGTCACACAATCAATCTAATAGGCCGATTTACTATTATCAATGTTGAAAACAAAATACTGCTTAATATTGTTGTGGAAACAGCGATAGATTTTTTTTTTCAGGATTCTTTGATGAATAGAATTTTTTTTTTTATATTTATATTTATATATTTTTTTTAACATCATAAATGTCTTTACTGTCACTTTTGATCAATTTAAAAAGTAAAAAAAAAATTAACAGTAGTGTTATATAATATATACATAGATATATTATCGTATATAGCCTCATCATTGATGTCCTGTTTGGTTTGTTGTGCCATGCTGAAATGACTCTGGGTCAAACAATGAAACTCTCTTTGTGTGCAGTTGTTGTGCAGCCTGGTTAACCGCTCACGTGTAGCCCAAACTCCTCCCTCACTCAATACATAACCCAGGAGACTGGAGCTCAAACAGTAATGTGCAGCTTCCTTTCTCCCTTTTAGCTCCCCTTCCTTCTTATCAGACCTTTGCACGGTGCGCGCACTTGACCCAGTCATGACATCTGTGAAAAAACATTGTGTTCCTGATAAAATAAGAACGAGCTGTTTGTTTTCTTTGTCTGTGACTGATGAAGGGAGGTGGACCAAGCACGTGTCACTGCCTAAAAAGCACTGCCCACGACTCCTCCTTCCTCCTTACTGATTGGTCAGGGCTTTGTGTTTACACTGTAGCTCCACCCCATGTGGTTCGGCCATGCCCTCTGAGCAGAAACGGCTTTTGCTGAACTCATTTGACAAAGTTGGAAACGTCTCGCACTTTACATTTAGCGATCGCATGTTGAATGAGACTTTAATCTTGAGGATTTTGTCTAGGTTTTATGGCCTAAATGGGTTTGGAAAAGCATTCTGCCTGGATTGAAACCTTGTTTTCTGGGTTTCTCAGGCCACCGCAGCCATCCACAGGACAGACCCCAATGGTGTCACCACGAAGCGAGACCACGCCAATACCTGTGCCCACACAGGTACGAAACTACCAGCGGATCAAACAGAACCTCTCCAGCAGCCCAACCACAACACTCTATGGCTCTCCCAGGTAAGACATCCAACAACGGGAATGTTTAACTCTGCTACTTACTGTATGTGGGATATTCATGTGTTTATGATGCTATGGAAAGATTTCTTGTCACTCTCGAATTTGCATCTGTTTCCTAAACTTGCTCACTTGTATAACTGAGAATTTTCTAAGTGGTCTTTGAGAACAGATGGGTTTAGGGTCTTCAAGCAGGTGTTTAGTAGAGTCTGGAGATTTTGACTGTTGCTTGTCCCCTATTAGTCACGCCAGACCTCAGCAGCTGCTTAGACTACTTCACTCTGACCTGCCCTGCGTCTCAAAAAGTGATTAATCTCATCACAGCAGCCTTGCTGTCCTTGTGCCCAGGGCCAGGCTGGTTCACATTATACTACCCTGTTAGTCAGCTCGGCCGCGGTGATGGTGAAGTGGCCCCGGGCACCAATTCAGACCTGATCTTTGAGTCATAACTGTCTTCCAGGTGCCAGTGCACTGAACTATTTAACATTTCTGCTCTTACCCAGTTTTGACAGGAGTGATTTTTTTTTGTCACTAAGCTTATTTATGAATTGTTTAGGAAGGGAGGAATATTGAGTATCTCACTTTAAAGTTAAAGAAAATGCGAGGAACTCTTACCCTAACAACACTGATGACCGAGGACGTCCTGCAAATTGTGTTTCATATACAAGGGCCTAAAAAAGTCAAATGTATGAATTTCTTACCATTCAAATGTTCACATGATCCTCAAGAAAACATTCTAATATGCTGATTTGCTGCTCAAGAAACAGTTCTTAGTATCAACAATATTGTGGAACTTAGTATTTTTGTGGAAACCACGATTTTTTTTCAGGATCCTTTGATGAATTTAAAGTTCAAAGAGCAGCATGTACTTGAAATAGAAATCTTCTGTCTCTACTGTCACTTTTGATCAATTTAATGCAAGTTAATGTGATAAACTACAACTGTGTGATCTTGAGGAAAACTGACATCATATATCCAATAAAATCACATCGAGACCAGTTGGTTTAACATAATTGCATAATTGTTGGTTATGAAAAGTGTCATTTGTGCTAAGAAAAGGTTTCAGTGAAATACAATTGTACGGTTGTCGAATACTACTACAGTATGATGTTTTTGGCCACACTTTAGATTAGGATCCAATTCTCACTATTAACAAACTATTAACTACGACTTTTGCCTTAATAAACTCCTAATTACTGCTTATTTATAGTTAATTAGGTAGTTGTTAAGTTTAGGTATTGGGAAGGATTAAGGGATGTAGAATATGGTCAAGCAGAATAAGGCATAAATATGTGCTTTATAAGTACTAATAAACAGCCAATGTCCTAGTAATATGCATTATAATAAGCAACTAGTTAATAGCGAGAATTGGACCCTAAACTAAAGCCTTACCATGTTTTTTTATTTATTTCTACAGGTCAGGCACAGTGCGGCGCTCCAACACAAGCCCCATGGGCTTCCCTAAAATGGTGTCTGGGTCACCAAGCCCTGCAGATACGGTCCAAACTGTTGGGCGACGTCTCTCTACGGGCAGTTCCCGGCCCTACTCTCCCTCTCCACTGGGTAATAGTTGCCGCTGTCATTCCAGTTGAATGTTTACTAGGAAACTGTATTTTTAAAGTCTGACATGTCCTGACGTGCCCATTTGATGTGTGTCTGTCTTTTTCTGTGCAATTGTTCCCCAGTGGGCACTATTCCTGAGCAGCTTGGCCACTGCTGCTGCGGACACCCCCAGAGCCACGAGGCCCGCAGTCGCAGCTCCTCAGGCGGTGAGTTTATGTGTCAAAGATGGACACCAAAGAACTCACAGCACTGCTGTTTTCTTCTTCAAAGTGGCACCATTAACAGTCCCACAAGCAGTAGCCACAGTGGCTTTCTCCCGGTGGGTCACAGCATGTCTGTGTTATTCTAATCTCCATGGAGACAGCTGCTCGTTGTGACTGAGAACTCAACAAGCGATCAGGAACAATGCATGTTGTAGGAACAAACTGTGTGAGCTTTTGTGTGAGACCTCTTCAAACCTATAAACCTTCAAAACTGTGAACTCAATGATCGTCTCTAAACAGCAGACAAACTCACTGACCTTGTGTTATGCTTTCAGTTCACTGAAGTCTAATGGCGCACGTCTGAAATATATAAACTGCAGTGTCACCTAGTGGTTGAATCATGTAGCATCTGATTAGCCATAGCAGCAAAATGTTAAAATGAAAATTCACCCTGTCTATTTCAGAAATTAATGTTATAGGTCTCATTGTAAGCAAATGCACGTCGCATGTAGTTACTATAAAAATAACAGTAAATAATGCATAATCACATGCAACTAACCTAAATCAAACCCTAACCTTAAGTACATGTTGTTAATTAATATTACCCAGCACCTAAATGTGCAATTACAAATACCTTATACCTTAAAGAGAAACCTAAAAGCTGGACCTTCTGGTGAATGCAACAGACTTCTCTCTGGTGATCTTCTCCAATCATTTAGTCTGCTTAAACCCCGCCCCTTTCTCTAAAGGTTCATCTGCCTTCAATTTTGAGTGCAATGCCCACATCTCAAAATCGAATCAATAGCTGATGGAAATAACCCCGCCCTACATTTATTTCTTTTTCGATGGTCCGTTACACTTGTATGTATGTCACTGTGGAAGAAAAGATCTGTTGTTAATTTCATTCATTGCAACTTGAAATGATTTTTTTTTTAAACAAGGACACTTTTTATGTTTTAGGTTCCCCTGTGCCATCCTCTCTGTTACTGGGCACCCGTCTTCAGAGTGCGCCCACGCTGACTGACATCTACCAGAACAAGCAGAAGCTACACAAGCAGATGTCTGACCCAGTGCACCCCACTTCATCCGCCTACCCCACCAGCCACTCCCCTCAGCTCGGGCGTCCCGGCAACCTAGGCACCTCCCCAACCAAGCACCTTGGCTCCTCCCCTCGCACCTCTGACTGGCTAACAAAGTCGCCACTGCCCACCATCATCGGTTCGCCCACTAAGGTAAGCTGCAGGAGTTGTCTGGTAAGCGTCTTTCTGGTCTAGATCAAGAGCTTTTGACATTACTAATCTCATTTCTTCTCATTTAGGTGAGCGCTCCATTCAAAATCCCTAAAACTCAAGCCTCGTGCAACCTCCTGGCCCTGGCCTCGCAGCAGGGTATAGCCGACAGCCCCACCCCAATCAGGATGCTGATGGATGGGCGTGACCTCTGTGCACATCACTGCTCGGCGTATCCCAGCAGCCAACAGCCTGCTCCAGAGGCCAGCAAGACTTCCTTTGGCAGGTCGGCAAATGTTTTGATATATTTTACATAGTGCTGGGCCGTTATCGGCGTTAACGTGCTGCGTTAACGTGAGACTCTTATCGGGCGATAAAAAAAATATCGCCGTTAATCAAAGTTGGGTTGGGATCATAAATAGCTTTTTCGAATATCGTTATATTTTCGCGCAATTCTAATGTGTAGTATGACGCCGCGCCTACTGTCACAGGTCGCGCAGTAGGGTGTTTTCCTGTCAGGGACACAAGGTGTACTTTTACTTTGTTACGTTGGGCGACGTTCCTCTCGTTACTTTATTTTAATGCAATACGTTGTTAAATGAGTTTATTCCAAGCGCGCTGTGTCCTTTGTATGGGCATGAGCGATGCTCATTTACAAATGAATCACTCTTTTGAGTCGATTCTGTTCAAAGACTTCATCAAACAAGTTGTCAGATGATCTGTCTAAATCGGTTCGCGAATCAGTTGATCTGTTCAGTTCCTCGCGCACTGAATCGTCTGAAGCGCTATCAATTCACACTCGGAGTCGAAACAGGAAGATTTAAGAACATCAAGAGCGTTAGATGAAGTGGCCGATCTACAGTCTAGTCTAGTGAATGCAAATCTGCAAATGCATCATATTTTTGCCAGCGATGAAGATCTTTATTAGTTGAACATCTTCGTAAGCTGTCTGTGAATGAATGATTCCACAGGACGATACATTCGATTTCATTTCATTCAGGTAATAGGCTACATTGTGTGTTTTGCGCTTGTATTGCGCAGTGGCATAATCACACAAATAGTTTACATTGATTGAAACTAATTTGTTTAAAAATGAGGCTATTGCAGTAACAAGGCAGGTTCACATAAAATTCTTATGACATATGACGACATTATTTTTTGATCTAACGAGCATTGGCGATGCAAAAACGGACTGTCGTGCGTAGGCTATTGTTTTTTTTTCTTCTTCCAATTAGCCTACTATGTTAAAAAAAAGGACGAAAACATGTTACTTGTTCAATTAATAAACAGTTTGTTTGATGACAAATCGCTAAAGATGAAATTGGCCTCCCTTTCTGTCATTGCGTTTTTTGTTGTTGTTTTTTTTTTACGATATTCGACTTTTGCTCCTCGATTGTCGAATGGCATTTTTGGCAGAAATGCACATCCCTACGCGAGGCAAACTATTCTCAAAGACTTACTTTTAGTCATTATTTGGGTAGCACACATATTCTGAATGCCTTCGGGAGAATTCAAATGAGCCATTTTAATCTAGATTAATCTAGATTAATTTCAATATTAATCTAGATTAAAAAAAAAATCTATGCCCACCTCTAATTTTACAACATTTGATGCATAATGCATAATAATATGCATAATAATATACACTGCTGTTCAAAAGTTTGGGGTCAGTTAAATTAATATTAACCGCACAACGGTTTTCAACATTGATAAACGGAAAGTTTCTTGAGCTGCATATCAGCGTATTATAATGATTATGTGACACTGAAGACTGGAGTAATGATGCTGAAATGATTTGCCATCACAGAAATAAAATACATTTTTAAATATATTAACCCTTTAAGGTACTACTCAACCATTTGGTAGACCACACTTAAAGTCACTATATTTTATTGAAAAATGCATCAAGCTTAACTCAACCTGAATGAGCCATCTCTACCGTTTGGTGTAGTTGTGCAATGCTAAAAAAATCCACTAGATGGCACTGTGTCTGTGAGCAGCATGCCATTTCAGTGTTCCTTCAAACAGCACATGACACAGCGAAAATTTGCTCCTCCTTTGATGACGCACATCGGCGGGACTTTTAAAGGTAAGACTATTTGGTTGACATATTATCGTTTCAGAGGAGTTGTTAAACAGAATTATGTAACTTAATTAAAGAAAAATAAGTCTTATAAGGGTCAAATAATTTTTTTAAACATGCTCTACCAAACGGTTGAGTTGTCCTTTTAAGGTAGTAAAAATTAGCTAATAAAATTAGCTAATGTTGGTCAAATTAGCTATTTACAATGAACAAAAGGGTTAGTGTTGTTAAAATGATTAATTTTAATATTATTCAATTACATATTTGATAAAAAATATTTGATCAATATCATTTTTTCAGCATTTCTGTACTGTATTATGGTAAATATCAAGAATACATTTGAAGAATTAATACCAATTCTGGTGTTACTATTAATTTCATAATTTAAAATTGACTATGTTTGTGTATTACTATATGACTAGCATTGTAAGAGCCATCAATAGCAGCCATCAGATTTTTTTATTGGTCAAGAAAATGCACTTAATATGACTTGTTCTGAATGTTGTTCTTTTATTATAAACAGACGTCTCAACCGTTTGGTAGAGGATTGTATCTAAAATACTGTAAGGTCTAATTAAAATTTTTTTTTTGATTGTTGTTATTGTTATCATAATTGAATAAAAAATGCAAAGAAATAATTTTTCCTTTGCTTTTTTCATGGTGCGTACCTTAAAGGGTTAAAACAGAAAACAGTTATTTTAAATTTTTATATTTCACAATATTACAGTTTTTACTGTAGTTACTGTTTTAATCAAATAAATGCATAGTTGGTGAGAGGCTTCTCTCAAAAACATTGAAAAATTTACTGACCCTATATTTTAAACATCTGTGTATAAAAGTATTATGAATTATGAATTCATAAATGTAATATTTTGAGGTGTTGCACACAACATTTTCTAACTTGAACTGACCTTGCCTTGTCACAAAAATGATCTGATATTTTATTTTTTACTTTAGAAAATCTCCTTTCTTTGATATAATTTCCTGTTTTTGTTTTTCTGCATGTTGGTCACACCACATGACTTTGATTTTCTACTCTTTCATGACTACTGCTCATTTATTCTTTTTTTAAAGAAAAATACATAATAATAATTCTTTTCGTTTCAGGAATTTTAAATTTCATAACAGTACAATTGACATTTCATTTTTTTCATTATTATATATCAGGACACTGACATTTATGACTTTATGCCCCGCACAAGTATCATAAAACAAAAATGAAAAAACAATCAAAGAAGGAATGTATATTGGCGTCATTGTTTGCATTTTTTATGTATTTGTATAAATGAAAAGATTTGGACAAGAAATAAGTGTCATGTCATTGACTCCTGTATTATAAATTCCATATGCATATAAAATCAAGCTGAACTTGTTTGTTTCCTCAGGTCTGTAAGTGCTGGCAGACTGTCTGAGCAGCCGGTACGGATCACTTTGGGAGGACAGCCGTACAAGGGCAGCACAGACAGCCTGAACACAGAGAGGCCAATGGACACAGGTGGACCCCTTTTCTCATTTTGTTTTAGTTTCCAGTTTTTCATACCGATATTATTTCTGCTAAATGCAACCCCATTGACATCATTTGAGCTTCTCCTGAAAGCTTCTGGCTTGCATGAAGTGCTGTGATTGGCTGCCAGTGTTTGTATGTGTTAGTCTGTGAGTGACCCCTGTGTGTGCATCCCTTCCCAGCCCCGGCAGGGATTTGCGGTTTGGCACCGGGCGGGGCGAGTCCCCGCAACGTTGTGTTCACGGTGGGCTCGCCCCCAAACAGCAGCACCCCTCCCACCTGCAGCCATCTCGCCTCCCGCCCGCGCACCACCTCAGGTGAGGGGCTTCGCCTCGTAAACCCGCCCCATACACCACTGCTTCAGCTGCCACACTACATGTTTAATGGCACCGTTTTCAAAGATTAACCTAAAGCTAATTGATTCCTAACTCAAGTAGTCGCTAAGGCTGATTTCTGTGTCTATGTGTCCGCAGTAGGTTCCAACAGCTCTGCCGGCTCGCTGTGCTCCACCAGCGGTAAGGTCTACATGGGTTCTCCCCCAGGCATGACCATCGGCAGCTCGTCGCCAGGAGTGGACGCGGCTCCCAGCAGCCTGCGCTACGTCCCTTACGGCACCTCCCCGCCCAGCTTGGATGGATTCATCACCTTTGAAGCGCCAGAACTGCCGGAGGAGACGCTGATGGAGGTGAGAGAGCTAACATGTAGACTACAGCTTGCACCACTGATTTTACTTTCGTAAAATTACGTAATTTAGTCTGTGTTCATTTTAAGACATTGACTCACAATATGTCGTATAATATCAGCAGTCTCAGATGCACAGATATTAAAATACAGATAATCTAATAATTGTTTTCATGTAATGACCAATAACTGATAAATCTCATATATTAAAATTCCCAATACCTAAAATTCGCCCAAAAATGAAAATTCTCATGAATTACTCACTCTCATGTCAGAATTTCAAAACCTGCAAGACTTTTGTTCATCTTCACAACACAAATGATGATCTATCCTATCCCTCCATTGCGCAACTACCACTTTGACGCTTCAAGAAGTTCGTAAAGAGATCGTAAAACTAATCCATATGAATTGAGTGGTTTAAGCATGTTTGCTTGATGTGCAAGAACAGTGTTTCACAGCACGTTTGAGCTTCCTCAAGCAAGTACGGATGAGCTTCTGTTTATGTATTCTGATCAATGTTTATATGTGAATAAAAGACTAACTTAAAGCTGTTCATCATATAAAGCGATCGATTCTTTTCAGAAAATTTGGACTAGTTTTAAGATCTTTTTATGAACTTTTTGAAGCGTCAAAGTGGTAGTTGCGTAGCTGTCAATGGAGGGACAGAAATCGCTCATATTTCATTCAAATATCTTCATTTGTGTTGTGAAGATGAACAAAAGTCTGGAAAAAAAAGTTTGGAACGACATGAGGGTGAGTAATTGATGATGTTTTTGAAAAATTTGGGTGAACAGTGTTAACTAAATAATTAACTTTAAATAAGTGTTAGATGTGTAAGGGTAATCAAAATATTAAAATAAGGGAAATGAGAATGAACAATTATATATTAAATATTTGGCCAATACCAATAAAATAAATAAATAAAGTCCTGTGACTAGGTTACTCAGACCAGACACGTCACCTAGCAGTGTTGTTATTGATAACTAAAACTATTAAAACAAAGCTGAAATAAAATAAAATATAAATATTTCATGGAAAAATAAGTTTGCAATAAAATATGGTTTAAGTCCATGCGCTAAAATGCGCTAAAATCACAAAACTAAAACTGAAGTAAAAATAAAAGCTAAATAGAAATAAAACGCACTTTTTTTTAAATAAAAAAGGCACGTAGCAAAATTAATTATACTAAAAAAATGAATAATACTAAAATAGCACTGGTGATCTAGTTGCTCAATCCTGTATACTGGTCATATAGCTCAGGATTTCACTTAAAGCACATCAATTCATCTTGTTACACACAGAGAACAGTCTGTCCTGGATAAAGCTTTTCTTGGGAAACACTAACAGGTTTATGTGTGTGTTTGGCAGCGTGAGCACACAGACACCCTGATGCACCTGCGGATGATGCTGTCCTTTACGGATTGTGTGCTGGAGATCGCTTCTCTACGGGCCGGAGGACCTGACCTGGGTGCGTCCGCCGCCTCTCTCTATCCTCCTCAGGACAGCGTGGTGGTGGACCAGATCAGTCAGCTCAGTAAGGAGTGGGGGTAAGAACAGTGCGCTGAAACACCTTTAACAATGAGACTTCATGACGTACAGTATATAATGTTTTGATCATCATCTCACACAGGCAGGTGGAGCAGCTGGTGTTGTATATGAAAGCCGCACAGCTGCTGGCCTCCTCGCTGCACCTGGCCAAAGCTCAGATCAAGTCCGCCAAGCTCAATCCTTCCTCGGCCGTCAAACAAGGTGAGCTGATACATTTCATGACTCCGATGACAAAAACTGTGTATGTATACGTGAGGTTGAATTGTTACAGAGTCAACCACTTTCCCTTAGCCCTAAAATTATTATTAGGTCTAGTGCAGGGCTCTCATTATCAAGAAAAAATAATGGAAATTTGGGCCTGGTGGACTAATGCATTTTAAAACAATAGTAAATATGAATATAGTAAAAACTATGTAGTAAAATTTGGGATATTTAGTTAAAATGATTTTAATAAATGATTTAAAATAAGACAAAACTAAAATATAAATAAGCCAAAAACAATACCAATCAATATTTAACATCATATTTTTAGCAACTGTCATTTATGTCATTTAGGACCATGAAAGTCATGAAAACGAATCAAATCCTAAGTAGTCATGGGCATTTTTAACATTGATATAAAATGTTCTAGTTATATCAAGCTCTAGAATATTTTTGGGGGTATAAATTGCTATTTGTCAGTAAAAAAAGTAAAAGACGTAAATGAATGGGTGTGAAGGTGTAAACCCTAAAGAACATTGTTATTGAAACTTCTGGAGTTATGAAATGTACGTATGTATAAATTTTTTTTTTTTAACTATGTGAATATATTGTGACTGCTAGTTTCTGTAAATAAAGTTTGAAAATGAGCAGATTTGTTGTGACAGCAGAAGCACCAGAAATATCTTGGGGGACCTTCAAATGTTGTGAGTCAAAAAGGTGGAGAATCACTGATGTAACGAATAACGTAACTTCTCTCTGAACTTCAGTGGTCAAGAGTCTGAACGAGCGCTACAAGAGCTGCATTTCCCTGTGCCGCCGCCTCACGGACAAACTCAACCACTTCTTCTCTGACAAGCAGCGATTTGTGGACGAGATCAACAGCGTTACAGCTGAGAAGCTCATTTATAACCATGCTGTAGAGTTGGTGAGTGAGGATGGTCATGAAAGCCTTACTTTGAGCTTTGCTGCGTGATTTTATGAGTGGCTAACATTGGTGTCATGTTTGTGTGTGTGTTACAGGTGCAGTCGGCCGCACTAGACGAGATGTTTCAGCAGACAGAGGACATCGCATATCGCTACAACAAGGCATCCATGCTGCTGGAAGGCCTGTCCAAGATCCTCCAGGACCCAGCTGATGTAGAGAACGTCATCAAATGTGAGTGAATTTAAAAAACAGTTTTATTCCTCTGGTGCTGCTCACGTGTTTTTTTGTTGTTGTTTTTTCTTCAATGAAATAAACGTTCAATATTTTAGAATATTTTTATTTCATACTTTGTATTTTTAGGGGATTTCATGGTACTAAATTATATTTATTAAAGAAGACACTTGGCAGATTATTGATAAAGTGAATTGTTTTTAAAACGTGAAACTAAAATGAAGGTTTAGAAGTTTGTTTATTATTATGAAAAATGAATTTTTATTTTATTTTATATGGAATATATATTTTACAAAACATGTTTTACTCTGTGAGAAAATCAAAGCCATAAATCTAAACAAGTTGTGCTCCATATTTGAGCTTGATATCTCAAAAAATGAGCTTTCAGTAAGAGTTTGTGTGCAATACCAAATGTTTCCACTAGATGAAATTCGTCTCCTATTCATTTCCATTTTTTTTTGTTCACATAGCAAGTGCCAAAACCTTTACCAAGTTTCGTACCATTCCAATGAAGTAAAACAATTTTTTTTTTAAATACGTAAAATGTATCAGTCAAAATGAACGAACTGCACCAGAGGGTTAAAAAAAAATCTAATCAAATGATTTTGATGATGTCCATTTCAATATGATTGTTTTTTTTGCTGACGTGACCAATATAGTCCGATTCACTTTCAAATGACTCTTATGATCTGGTTCTCTTATGATTCTAGTTCAATGAATTGGTCAAAAAGACTTGAAATTAACTGTTGGAATTGAACAGCAATCTGACTGGTTGTTCAAATGACATTGAATAATAAAATATACACTTTAAGAACACAGTATTTGGTAATAAATGTTGTTTTATTGTTACACTATTATTTTTGTTTAGCATACAGTTTGCATCAAATATAGGCTGGTGGTTTTTCAAAAGTTCTGAAAGAATCGTTAATAGAATTGATAAGGAACAGGAACCCATTGTTGTTATTGTTAACTAAAACGGTTGTTAACTCAATATTAGATGAAAAATTAAACAAAATGTTACCTTGGCAGTTAGTCAAAGTACTAAAAGTACTAAAAGCTAAATGGATATATTCAACCAAAACTAATAAAATGACAAAAGCAAATAACAAAATATTTCAAATTTACACTAAAATTCAAATGCAAACTGATATTATAAAAAAAATATTAATATTAAACACACACACGGAGTCGTAATAGTAAATAAATAATACTAAAACAACACTGCTGGAATCATTTAGATCCAGAATTGTTAAAACATCTCGTTCATGTGTCTTTGTTTACTGCTTCTTACATCTTTTCTGTTTGTGTTTCCTTTGCACAGACAAGGCAAGTGTGGACCGGAGGATCTCAGCTTTGTGTTACTGCACCGTTACCCTGTACGAATAAAGACTTTCACTCCAGGGACCATCATCTTCTCAAACTACAAAGAAGACTAAACAAATCCCTTGTTTTTGTTTTGTAGCAGTCAAAGCACTTTCAGTTCCTTTTGATTCCTTTCAATCACAAGCAACAGACCAAGTATTACGTTTTTTTGCAGATGACATTTTGAGAAGGATGTTCACAAGTTCACTACCAAAGATGAAAACTAAACAGAGACTTTATAGTATGAAAAAAGACGTTCATCTTCTGTTTTTACGACATCATTTCTCTTTTTTACATAAACTGAAAGGATTTTGGACTGGGAATCTTTAAAGGCCCATCCATGAACGTCGATGCAAATCAGTTCTTTCTATTGTTTTTTACTGCACTCTATTGCTCTGATTATTTATTGGTTTTAGTGTTATTGATGATAGTGTTGAAAGACGACATGGGGCGGATGTGCAGCCCAGTGTTGGACTGTAATTACTGGTACCACACATACACAGTCAAGTGGTTGAACTTAAGAGGAATCTGTAGTATTTACAAAATCAGTTTTGAAGCAAATGCACTTTATTGAGGCAGATGTGGAAGACGCTTGTCCTCGAACATCTGGGAGAATGGAGATGACGATCCTTCCATCTGTCTCCGAGATCAGCGTGTGGCTCCAGGTCCTTCTCATTTCCATATCTATAATCCTCTGAAATCGAGTGTCTGGAAGGCCCGTGAGCATCAGGTCGGACATTGGCGTCTCATAACAGCCTCATGGTGAATCAGACATAATGGTCAAAATACTTGAGTCGTTACTTACCTTTTGATTCAGCCGTACTGAAACGTTTTTATGTTCATATTAATACTGTAGCTTTTTTTAACTGACGTGCGTGAGCTGTAAATACTTGTACATTCTACATGTGTGTTTTTATTTTGGAGTGAATGCGAGCGAGCACAGCTTGATTGAAGAAGGTAGATGCTGCCGTCGCCATCCCTGCCTCTCAAATGAAGAGCACAAGATTTCCTTGTTTTTAGGTTTTTTATTTTGTTGTAGGAGTAATAGGACAACTTCCACAGGTTCTTCGAGGCCTTGCGTAAGACTCGAGACCTCACTTTGCATGGCAGCTCTTGACTAACGCCCATGAATATCTTGTGTACGACAATACATTGACTGTGCGGGACGTGGATGTTGCAGGTAAATGGGAGAGAGTGCGGCCCACTGCCAGGCTCTGCTTTTCCCCATTCATCCACTGAGCTCAGGACAGTGTTTGTGTAACTGCTCTTCCCAGATGCAGTGGCCAGTTTCAGGATACTGAAGAACTGAGAGCATGACTTCGGGTAGTCTACTTTCCCTTGTACATGTTTTGAACATCTCGCTCCCTCTCTCCTGCACTCTGCCTGTGTTTTTATTTTCAATAACGGCCCCCTGTGAGCCTACAAAGCCTTTTACTGTACAGAAAGAGAAGGCTGATGTCCTTTCTGCCACTTTGTTATACAAAATCCATGCATATCTGTAGTTGTAGGACTTCCTTATCCAGGTGTGAGCAGAACTGTGTACAGATGATCCAATTAGAGAAGACTAGTACAGAGCACATGTACCTGTGGAACATTAGAATGTACTTGCCCTTCCATTTGCAACTTTCCCTTTCCGAATAAACCAGCCTATCACAGCCCAACACGACATGATCACGGGCGATGCAGCCTGAAGGTTCATAATCCCTTGACTTTCAGTGACAAAATGTTTTAATCAATGTGTGTTTTACCAAGGGCATCTATGTTGTCTGAAACTGTAGAAATACAGCTTTTATTAAACAGATCAATTGTATCCTGTTATCTGAGTCTCCGATTATGTGCTTTGAAATGTATTTTTAAAAGTGTTTGCTCATCTGCAAGACGTCTATAGGACGTTTCCTGTCAGATGTCAAATAGACGTTTAGAAGATTTCACTTTAACATGCATTCTAAATCATTACATCTTAAAGACATCTTCTAAACGTCTATTTGACATCTGACAGGAAACGTCCTATAGACGTCTTGCAGATGAGCAAACACTCTTAAAAATACGTCTTCCAGATGTAAATATAACATCAAATAGACTTGTGCTATCTGGGAAAGGAAATAATGAAAGTGCAGCACAGGTGACAGCAGTAGCAGAAACCAGACATGGTTTTACAGGGTGAAGAAGAGTGATGATTTATTTCCTACCTAAAGGCCCGTTCACAGCAAGGATGATAACTAAAAATATAATGATAATGATATCAGTTCTAAAAATCGTTCTCAATATTAAAGAATAGCGTTCACACCACAGCTTTAACAATAACAGCACAGAGAAACGATATTGTTGGAATCACTTTCAGAACAATTTTATGAAAATAAAATCGGTTTCAAAGTGGAAGTTTTAGGAAACTACCATCTCCGTGTAAACTACAAAAAAAGTGAATTTGTGAAATCGGTGACGTCATGCGAATTACGTGACAGTCTATTGGCGCATATTTTCTTTACAAAGTGACAATCTTTTTTACAACGTTGTTGTCCGTACATTTGCTTACACGTTGAGGTATCTACGTTCACACAATTTACAGTTATAAATCTGTTTGGAGTGCTGTTTTTTTAACCAAATTCTGACCCCATTCAGATGACCCCATTGCTAGTTGCCGGTCGGCAGGCGTCATCAATGCCTTGCAATAATACATTTTTGTCATTCAAATCAAATACACACGGACACTAAGGCAGTATGGGGAAACCCAGACTACACGGACACGATGTTTGCTGTGTTTTCCCCCACGCCAACTCCGCCCTCACCACGCCCCCAACTATGACTAGACCTGGCCAGAGCCGTTAACGGCTCTGGACCTGGACCATAGACTGTCTGGACCATAGACTGACCTGGCCAAAGACGGTCCGTCTTCTCCAAACTTACATTGGCGGTATTTCAAGAGGGCAGCCGCAGCCCTGTTTGGAGCATTGATAGTGTCTGTCAAGCGCTGTATATACGCCCCACGCTCTTTTGGCCAAAAGTTACTCGGTGTGCCTTTAGGTAGACCGACACACGAACAAACGTATGATTAGCAGCTAACGTTACACAAGATGAAGATTTGACATGGATCGGGTCGCCACATGAGGTGAGACGTGCAAAGATCACATGCTGATGTATTTTTTCTGTTGTTGGACATTTTTACTTTTAGAATAAATAAAGTTCAACTAGTTGCGTATACTGACTGCACAAGATACAAAAGTGCAGAAAATATTCTCCAGGTGTTAACATCTTTTTAGTTGCCAGTTTATATAGGGGACAGTAAAGGACGATGAAACAATGAAAAGCTCAATAATGAATTACAATGAGATTAGTTGATTTTCTGTGTTCAACCAGTGCTGGCACTCATTCGCTTTAAAATGTTAAGCAGCTCAGTGACCTGAGTATAGTCTTCTGGACATTCATTGTTCACAACATGGTACCTGTTGCCACACTTCCTCAAGATCTTCTGCAAATGTTCACCCTTCTTTTCAATGTGCTGTTCAATATTCTTTCCTCTTAACTCGTCTCCCCACGTAAAGAGCACCAGAGCGTGTGACCACACGGCGTCCCCGAGGACTCCCAGATATTTCTCTATCGCACGTCCGTCTCTCTTGCTGAAAGAGTCCACTGGGATAACGAGGAGAAATAACTGACATCCAGAAGGGGCCAACATCACACTGCGCAGGATCTCATGTTTCACCTGTTTGGCGTTAGCCAAACCGAAGAGACTCCAGCCTGGAGTGTCCACGACGACCAGCCTCACGCCGTCCACCCAGCCGTGTCTCCTCACACACCGAGTCGTCTTCTTCCCGTGCTCAAACTCACTGCGTCCGAGGATGAGGTCTCCCACTGAGCTCTTACCAGCATGCCTTCGACCCAGCAGCAAGAGTCCCAGCACAGAACCACACTCCGGACCGACTAACCAAGACATAGAGAAGTCAAATTAGAGGTAATGAATGTTCCCGATAAGCAGAACCGGTTAATGTTGTTGAAAGTTGAAAAAAATCTATCAGCTTTTCCTGAATCTTTACTATTGCCTGTTTCTGTCATAGGCTATACATTTTAACCACATACCTTGTCAAAAGTCATATGAAACACTGAGTACAAATCTGCTGTTCCCATATCACATGTGAAGTGTCCACTAACTTACCATATGCTGTCACATTGCTCACTGCCATTCTTCATTCCTCCACCCAATTGATCCGGTCTTTATGTTGCATACAGTATATCCGCTTAACTGTTTGCTTAAATAACTTCATTCCATTTAACACACAATGAGTTGTTTACAAAGTTTCAAAGTTCACTTCTCAGTTCTGTGGAAGTCATAGCGTGTGACTCACATTTGTCGACATGGGAGGGACAGTCAGGTCAGTTTAGTTAATAAAACAATATAGGATTCGAAAAGATATGTGGTAGCCTACTTTTACAGATAGAGTAAACATTGGTGTCCCATCACTTTTCTAAAGCAACAAATGAACAAATCCCAGGTTCTTTATTAGATAAGTCATATAAGGTTTTATTTCAAATGAACTTGTTAAATAGCTAATTTTTCCATTCTGAAAATAGCTCATTTTGGTTTGCACCACCTTAAAGGTCTTGACCTTCTTTACTCTATTTAACAATTACAACAGTGTCATAATTCTGACTTAATCTGTTCAAAATATTTTAAAAATTCCATTAATAAAAACTATAATTAGCTGCCTGTGTCCCATATTTTGTGTACAACTGTTACCGCATGATCTATTCACTTAAAAGTGGAACATTTCATAAAATTGACACTTTGAAAATGGTTACTTGGATTTTATAGCATGGGGGGAAGACAAGTAAAGTTATCATTCCATTTTTAGCAGTGTTGTTATTGTTAACTATAACTAAAATGACAAAAAATATTTTTTGTTAATTGAAATAAAGCTAAAATAAACTATCAATATTAAATGGAAAAAAATACTAAAAAAATGTAATAAAATAAAACTAAGAAATATAAACAACCAAAAACAAATAAAAATGACTAAAGCACAAAATTACTAAAAGCTATTTCAAAATGTTAATAAATAATATCCAACTATAAATATTATTAAAACAACAGTGGTTTTTAAATATATTAAAATGTTGACTATTTTTTTTTGCAACCATCCAAACAAATTATTGCAAGAAAAGAATCTTGATAATTATGTTTAACAGTAAATACAAACCAACATTTGCTCTCAAACTAGCTAACCCCTACTGAGAAACAGCATAATTTAGGATAAATTTGCAACATTTTAACTTGAAATTTGGAAGAAATGTTGTCAGTAGTTTATAGAATAAAACAAAAATGTTACTTAACACATACTACATATAAATTGTAAACCCAGAGAAACTGCTAATTTTCCAGACAGTCTCTTCTTGTTTTTCCAGAGCTGTAGCCTACTGTGTATATATATAAAATCCAAGATGTTAAACTTTATGTCCCAAATCTTGGTAACAGGGTTATAAAATGTCAAATAAAACAGTTCACATCATAATATTTAATAGAAAATCAACCCTTTTCATTCATAAGACAGCTTCTTGTCAAATGAACCGAAAGGCAAAGACAAAACAAACTCATGAGAGGATTGTAACAGTTCATTCTTCTAAAATTTATTCATACATATATATATGTATATTTATACTTTGACTGCCACAGTGTGACTCGTATCACATTATTTCCTGACCTGTAAGCATAAATAGATGCTGTTCTCTTACCTCTGTTAAATTAACTGACAACAGTAATGGGTCATTTTCAGCACCACTGTTTATAGTACATTCTCTATTTGCATCATTTATAAAAATATACAGATTTTCTTTTGCAAAACATTCTTTCCATGTTGTTCAAATGGCATGAGATCAAGGATCCATATACTGTCAGCATCATTTCTCCTCCCATCCTCATTTCCATTCACAGCATTTCAAAGATCAGTAGCAGCCACACTGAATAAAAGTCACGGCACACGCCGTTCTCTCACCACCACAGACTTTCGCAACAAACTCCCGTGACTCCTTCAGGAAGTTGAGAAGAAAGAGAGAGTGGAGGAGAGAACAAAGCATACACAGAAAAGATGATGGGTGGCGGTGAACGGAATAGGTGATGGAAAGAACCATATGTACTGTAACAGGCCTGAACAGCGCACTTCTGTAACTCCTCGGCAGCCCACTAGGGGGCGCCTCAATCCGGTTTATCTCCCAGGTTAACGGGGTGGACAAATACTTAAAAAAGCATGAAGAAAATTTCAACACAAATATCAAGTGAAAAAGTTTTTTGTATTGAGGCGTTCTTAATCAAGAGGAAGGCGCATTGGGATGAGAGTTTGGTTGCAGTGCATAGAGAGACGTCTGAGTCGGAGCCACTTGGGTTATTGCCTGATGACGAGCCGCCCTGACACTCGCACACAAACACACAGAGGCGTGAGGACCTCTTTAACACAATGGTGGAGTGTGAGAGGGCATTGTGTGCGCTTCTCCCGATGGCCAGCAGAAAGCGATGTTCATTCTGCATTATGGGCCAGAGGAAGCAGCATTTGTGTAGTGTCTTCAGCCCAAGGGGCTTCTCTGTCCACAGTCCGTCCTCAGAGTCCAGCTCGCTCGTAGAACAACACATAGGCGTCGCTACTGCGAACTTGGCTGGTTGACATTGGCGTGACTCTGGAAGAAGAAATTGACACTCTTATTTAGTTGACAATCAATTTTTTATTGAAGATCTGAGATTCAAAATCAAATATTTAACCATATATAACCTACTGTATCATATTTTGAAATGCACATTTCTAAGGCCTCTAAAGTATCGCATAATCTAAACATGTCCTTCAGGCTGTTACACGTGTCCTTTTTACTTTGAAATCTTCACTGATTTTTATTTTAGTAATATTTTAACACTTGCTGGACTGAAGAGACTTCGGTTTACTGGATAATCCAAACATCTTTTTTTTATCATGTTAAAATGTGAGTATCAAATATGATACCTCAGGCTTTTGAGGAGCGTTTATTTGTACATCTTGAAATCCTCATTCTATTCCATTGTTTTGCTTATTTTTGCTCGGTTTGGGCCTTTGAATAAAATGTTGGTCTTTTTTCCCCCTCTTTGAGTATGATGTCCTATATATTAGATTTAGATTATATTATTTTTTTATTATAAAGATTTTAGTAAATTATTATTTAATAATAATAATATAAGATAAATGAATACATAAATATATATATGTGTGTGTGTGTGTGTGTGTGTGACATTTTAAGCCATTTTAAAGACCTGTGGGAACCCTGTATTACCACCTTACATTTTAGAAATAAAATGGCCAATTATCAGCCAATTTTTCAGCCTGGTCAATATAATAGAAAGAAGACGTGCGTGTGAGATTCGTCACTTTTTAAGGAAGAGTGTGTGGGAGGGAGGTGAAGGAGGAGGATGGGATACAGGAAAATAATGGAAGCTAGAAGGTGGAATGGAACTCTGCTGACATGCTATAACCATGAGGATCATTTCTCTGAAAGCTAACGCGTGTTATGTACCTTTGGGAAATCTACCTGGTACTCTACAGTTATGCAACAGGATAAGAAAGAGCAGGAGGTGAAGGTAAAGAAAGTACCTGGAGTCGTTATATGTGTACCATTCCCCGTTTTCAGGATTGCAACAGTACGCTGTGTAGTGGCCTCCCATAGTCGTGCCTGAGTGATTGGACACTGCATACAAGTTATACACTGCACTACCTGGAACAGGAAGATGAATAGACCGTCAGGGTGGAATTAAATGCCAGATACAGTTTATTGTGAACCAAAATACCAATAATATCTAGAGAAATGTATAAATACTGCAGTAACTATAAACAAGCCAAAAATACACCGGGACTATGTCTATGCTTTACTACTTCCAGCTGCTCATTCAAAAAGACGAGGGCCGTAAAATATGCACTTTACAACCATATGCAACATATTACAATGTAAATACCATAAGGTAAACATTGTCAAAATTAATCAAAAGTAGATCAAATGAAATCGCTTGGCATATATGTGCGGTATTCATCGACTGCGAACTGCTCTGAAACCATGAGCCTGTAGAACATAAAACAACCTCACATTTGAAACTTTTCACATTTATTTAATGAAATGACTGTCTTTTGAAGTTAATAATCACATAAAGCCATATCGTGATTATTGCTTTTTCATCCCCAAATTTAAGAAAATAAAAAAAACTTGTAACAAATTATATTTAAAACATCTGTTATACCATTTAAGGTATTTAAGACTTTACATTTTATCTAACTGAATTTGAGACATTTTAAGACTTTTTAAAGACCCGTGGGAACCCTGTAAACCAATAATGGTTCTAAAAGTTACATATTGGCGCAATATATATATAAATGTTTATTTTATTTTTATTACTATTCATAATGTATAATTCATTATTTATTTAAAAGAAACGTACTAGAACCTTACTACTGCAACAGGATATATCACATTCTGGAACTGAAGAGGCAACAGATTTACAGATCTTTTCTTTTGTATTGTGACATGCATTCACGTAAAACGGATTATCAGAACAGATTGTTGATTGGATGGAGGTGGATCTGAATGTAGGAAAGGGCTGGGTTTAAGCGAACTTCAGCTGTATTCTGCATGCCAGGCCAGTAGTTGGCGATGTCACTTTCTAAAGAAAAACTACGTGCCTATAGACTGAACAAGTAATACGTCACAGTTTTCACAAATTCATCTTTTTGTAGTTTACAAGGAGACAGTAATGGTATCGGTTTCAAAACCTTGCACTTTGAAACACGTTTTCAAAAATTTGCATTTTCAGGCCCCAAAAACACTGTTGTCGTGTAAATGAACTGCACAAAAACACATAAAAAGTTTCCCGTTTTAGTTTAAAACAGTCTCTAAATGATGGCAGTTTTCCGGCATACATCATCAGAGAGTCAGTCACTTCACTGGAAGATCCAGTTATGGTATTTTAACTAACAAATGTCAAGATCCTTTTTTTTTTTTTTTGAAACATGTGCATAGATTAATTGTTCACAATATGATCTATAACATGCATTTAGAAAACAGATAGGGTGCATTTTCATTTCATGCCAAGTGCCGCAGCACATTCCCTCTAAGATTGAAGTGTCTTCACTCACTGCTTCTTTCAGAGGCGAACTCCCTGAGGTCCAGGTCTTTCATGGGGAAGTTGACAAAAGTAGACAGTTTGCTGGTTCTGATGCGGGCTTCTGAGAAGCGCTTCAGATCTGAACAAGTGAAGCGGTTAAGGAGAAGAGACTCGGCACACTGCTGATCTCAGAGAGACCTTTCACAGAACGCTTCAATCAGCACATTCCCTGAACACACACAGAGCGTCCCGATCTTATCTGTGCTTACTGTCAACAAACACACCGATGACAT